TTTACAATTGTAGCATTGTCTAACTGAACTAAATGGTTTTTATTTCTATAATAATGCAAAAAGACAGTGGGGGCAGTACCGCGGTGAGCAAGTAATGTACTCAGTGTATGGCTGAACACCAGGTAACACCGACTACCGCAGCAAGCCTAATGGAAAGTTTAAGTTATTGATTCATCAACTGAGTTTGTATGAACTAAGCATCATGTCAATGCACCAACTTTGAGGGACCTATCCACTTGCATTATACGGACTCAGAGAGATAGATTATTTTAAAATTTTAATCAATTTAAAAGCATCTGTCTCCTCTTTCGGCTGTGAGCAGTAGGTAGTATCATCTGCTGACTGTGCTGTGCTGCGCAGGTGGACACATATTAAAATAAAAGACTTCATTTTTCAAGCTTTTACACCTACAAAAGAAACGGTCTCTAAGGTCTGTTGATGTGAACCATAATTTAAAAAAACCTGGAGTCTCACAAATGGCTTACTACCTCTTCCCTTTCCTGCTTGTTTTGTGTTTTTCCAGAGTTTGACCTGTCTGTGTTGGAGAAGCTCCCTGACCGGCTGCCCTCTGCCCTTCTCTTTAATGAGTTCTCCATCTTCAAGGGAAGCCCAGTGGAGCTGTACGCCAGAGGAGGGATGGTGTTGACCAGTATCAGCTGCAGAGGCCTCCTCTCCTCATGGTAGCGGCAACGCATGTACCGGGCGAAAGCTGCACGGTAAGTCTTATTGAAGAGCGTGTAGATGAAAGGGTTGACCGCCGATGACAGATAACCCACCCAAACAAACACATTCATCAGTCCCCCCACCAAATCTTCATCACACGCTGAACCACACACCACCACCATTACGTTTGTCACAAAAAATGGACACCACATGATCACAAAGAGAAGGAAGACCACGCCAAGCACTTTAGATGCCTTCTGCTCGTTGCTGATGGACTGCATGGAGCGACGGCTGGATCCTCTGGAAGCCCCATCGCGGCAGAGAGACGAACGTGAGAAGAGACGCTCAGAAGAGAGTGAGCCTCGTGGAAGGAGTCCAGTAGTGGACGACCATTTTGGCCGCATGATGAGTTGGTCCAGGCACAAAGTCGCTTCGCTTTGCAGAGCACTGATGGTGAGAATGTAGGTGACGACCATGATGATGAGCGGGATGAAGAACGCCACAAAGGAGCCAATCAAAACAAAATTGTTGTCCGTCAGTTGGCAGCTTTCATTCCGGAAGACTTTGGTGTGATCGTGCAGGCCGAGGACTGGGACAGGCATGGAGATAACTAGAGACAGATGGAGACAAAATGAGAGTGAGAAGACAGCTTGGAGCTATGGTTTGGCATACCAGTGCTAATAAGATGCAATCTCAGTTGTTTAGCATTTCAGAATTTAGCTGGAAAGCAATTTCCGTCTGCCTTTGGTGCGATCTAGAACTTACCGACAGAGATGGTCCAGGCTGCTATAATTTTGACACGGGCTCTTGTTAGAGAGTTCGAGCGGCTGTGGTGGAAGGGGTTACGGATGGCGATGTATCGGTCCAAAGAGATGGCGCACAGGTGCATGATGGAGGCAGTGGAGAAAAGAACGTCCAGGTAGATCCAGATCGGACATAGGGCCCAGGGAAGGGGCCAGGTGTAACCTAACACATCAGAGACACAAAAAGTGTCACATTCTGGACAAGCATGTACTTGTGTGTCTTCGGTTACAGTAATAGATTGTATTAAATATTTATATTTATATAAATATGTTTGTATACATTTAAAATACAGTTCAATAATATTAAATATTTCCAGGGTCGTAGCATGAGGAATCCATGGAGCTAAGTGAGAAAATCAGACTTTTTGTACAAGGTGTTCACACTGTCAAAACCACAAGTAAAAAACAGTAATTTTGTGACATATTAATACAATGTAAGATAACTGTTTTATATATGTTAATACAGTAGACTATATTTTAAAATGTAACTTATTCCTGTGATGGCAAAGCTGAATTTTTAGCAGCCATTAGTCCATTATTTTTCAGTGTCACATGATCCTTCAGAAATCATTCTAATATGATGATTTGGTGCTCAAGAAACAGCTGTGCCGCTTAATATTTTTGAGGAAACCTTGATACATTATTTGATTCTTTGAATAGAAAGGCCAAAAGAAAATCATTTATTTGAAATAGAAAATTTGTGAAACATTGTCTTTACTGTCACTTTTGATCAATTTAATGCATTCTTGCAGATTTTTATTTTTATTTTACTCTGATGAAAAGTAAGCTTTGCTATCACTTGAATGAATTACATTTTAAAATATATTAAAATTGAAACAGTTATTTTAAATTGTAATAATATAATTATTAATTTAAAACAGTCTTAAAGGAACAGCAGCAAAAATGGTCATGAAAAATCTTAGTTGTTGTAAAAAAAAAACTTCACTTACATTCTAAGTGAACCTCAAAGAAAAACATAAATAATAAAAATGTATTATATAACCTTGTTAAATGTAATTTGCATTATACAGAAGAGAGTACATTGATGTTTAAGAATGAATTATTAACTTTAACATCCATGGAAACTTTCCACAAACGTTTCTTTAGATTATTAAAATGGTCTTTACACTTAGAAAAAAAAGGTTCTTTTGAAAACTGTTTACTGATAGGTTTTTTGGGGAACCCAAAAGTTTTTATAGCATTGCTGTGAAAGGTCCTTTTTTGGAGTGTAATACATCATTGTTCATCTGAACATTCAAATCTAAAAATCTTCTGCTTCTTTGGTCTTCATTACCACCAATAATAATTATCTTGAATAAAGTGAGTACCAGTAGTCACTGGCAAAACAAAGTGTTGTATTTCACAAGCTTCAGCCTTTTATTTTGGTGACTCACAAAGAACAGATATATTTTCGAAGGCAGTATTTGATTCCTTTGTGTGAGATGAGAGAGTAGAAGACTCTTGGGTGCAGATACAGACAGTGGTAGTCATCAGCAGCACCATCACACACATTGGTGTGCTTCGAAATGTAAAGTCATAGAATCTCCCAGAATTCTCACAACAGGTTCAGCTGAGATAGAGAGCTGTTTCTTAGTGCCTGGAGTGTTCCAGAACACAACCATGTCTCATGTAGGCTATATAAATCCAATTACTTTTACCTGGTTATATAATAACATTACATCACAGATGTGGAAATAACATGTTTCAGGGAGCAAAAGATGATACCAGCTGTGGATTAGTTGTGGTGACTCAAAATGAGTTCTGCATTGCGTGTTTGCATGTTTGATTTGAAAACAATGTGTTATGCTTTAGGCAGACTTTGTTTTGTCTAGGTTTTCATTGACAATTCTGATCTCTAAATGACAAACTTCACCAACAAAAAAAGAAGAAGAAAGAAGGAGAATAAATAATTTAGCTCTGTGTTATCATAAATCTGTCCGTAGCCAGCTGTCAAAACACCAAAGCTACATACATCTGATAGAACCAGGAAGTGGCATGTTTTATTCTCCTTGGTCAAACTATTCAGGACATCAAATAGGAAGCATAACCATTTTTGCTGCACAAACACACCAACGCGCAGCAT